AGAAGAAAGGCTTGAACAGCTTGATGGGGCGGAAAGGACAAAAGACGTAAACATATGGATAAATATAAACAAATTTTGGGTGTATAAAAGAGTAATCTTCACTTTCCATTTTTCCATAATAAGTCTCAAAATAATATAAATAGGATGCACTGCTTCTAATTCAGTAAAAGAGACAGAGAGACAATCAATTAAAAATCGAAGTACAATGATGTACACCTGAAATTTTTACAATGTTATAAACCAATGTTACTGCAATAAACAAAAAATTAAAAAAAAAAAAATCATTCAAGAAAGGAGAAAATTTAAAAGAAACATAGTAAATACAGATATAAACAGAAAGTAAATACTAATTGATATAAACAAATCTGAGCATTTAAATTATCACAATGAATATAAATAGATTAAACACTTCAGATAATAAAAGACAATGATTGTTAGGCTATGAATAAAAATTCACTATATTCTATTTTCAGGATGTATTCTAAAAAATAAGGCCACAAAATGTTTGAAAATATCAAGATGAAAAATTACATGCCAGGCTAATAGTAAACAAAGGGAACATTTACGTTATCTAGTATCGTAGAAAAAAAAAATTCTTTAAGCCAACAGCAATGCTAGAAATAAAGAAGGTTACTACATAAAGGCTCAATTCATAAAATTTACAACAAATACTAGATTATATGCATCTAATCACATGCATATGTGTCTAATCCCTTTTATAGTCATTGAAAGACCAGAAAAAACTCATATGGATACACATTTTAAATACAAAAATTGTCAAGCTAGGTCCTGCAGGCGTTTTTAGAACATCATACCCAAAAAGTGAAGAGTATCCATTATTTTACACAACACATGGAGCACTCATGAAAATCTACCAGATACCAGCCCACAGCCAGGCAGAGAGATGTACATTTCACAAAACGAGTGCCATACAGTCCATAGTTTCTGACTGCCATGTACTGAAGATTAAAAAGTGACAACAAGGGACAACTTAGAGAAACCCTACAAAGACAAGAATTAATACTCATGGTTGCATAAGAGATCACACTGGAATTCAGAAAACACTTAGAAGGCACAATGGAAAAACTACTTACTAAAATGTCTGGACACAAGCAATATGATTTTAGAGGTAAACCAATCGCCTTAAATTAACGTAGTAAAAATAATAAATACTTTAAAATGAGAATGAAAAACAAAACAGCTCCTGACATCCAGGAGCTGGCCTGTCGCCATTAGCCAGGTCTAACATCCTCTGGTTGAACATAAATAATTTCAAAGAACAAATCAACCCTATGACTATAATGGATCAAAACAAAAACAAGACCAATCCGTAAGCATGTCTGGACACAGAAAAAATATAAACATCTTCCAAACCACAGAATACTAAACATTTCTCTCTCCCAGTTAATATGAGTGATGGCTACTACTTTACCAATTACAGCTTCAGCCTCTCTCTACTCTTCCCTCCTTCCAGATAAGGTTTATTCAGATCAATTACAGAATTACCCCCACTGACTGACAGCAGTTAATTCAGAGCAAAGTTGTACTATTTAAATTCCTCTTACGATAATAACTAATAAATCCAGTTTGTTCCTCGTGGTTTTTGGCTGGCAAACATTAACAAAAAATAAATGGGGCATATAATTAAAGATACAAAATACAAAAACAGCAAATTAGAGAAAATAAATAAAATAGAATGAAGGAAATATGTAAGATCAGGAGCCAAAGTTATGCAATAGCAAATAAACATAAAATAAAACCACAAGAAACAAAAAAAAATAAGGCACACCAGCTCAATATTAGGGGTGAAAAAAATGTCTAAGGGGAATGGACAGAGAGGCAGCAAAATGCATTCTGAGCAAATTTAGGTCAATAAATGTGAAAAACTAAGAGAAAGGGCAAATTCTTTAAAAATATAACTTGCCAAAATATGCTTCAAAGTAAATATATGAACTAAATAAAGTAAACCTATAACCATCAAATAAAATTGTATACATAATTAAAATGTTCCCACAAAGGAAACATAATGGCCAGCTGTTTTACAAGCGACTTCTAACAAACATTCTAGCATTAGATCATTTCAATCTTACGCGAACTTTTCTAGAGAATATAAAAATACAGCATCCTCAACTTATTTTATGTGACAAGTATATTGGCTCCAAAATTAGACAAGTATAGTAAAGTATAGTATGAGAAAATCAAGACAAATATTGACATAAACATCTTAAATTAATTATTAACAAACTCAATCCAGCAACATACACAAATATAATGAATCATTCCCAGGCTGGTTTTATCATAGCAAACAAGTTTGTTTTAATCTGAAAAGAAAAAAAGATATTTTCACATAATACAACTTCATTAATAGATAAAGGCAAAGAAACATAGGACTATTATAATAAATGCAGCAACAGCATTGAATAAATCTCAGCATGCATTGATGATAAATAGTTACTTATCAGATAGGAATAGAAGGGACTATTACATCCTGATAAGGTGCATCTATGCAATACACACAGCATCTGTTTGCTCAGTGGTGAAATGCAGAAGCACTCCATTCACGTTAGGAACAGTATAAGAACACTCACTATTACCAAATCCATTCGGTACTTTACAGGAGGCCGTAACAAATGCAGTAAGAACATTAAAAAGTTATAAGATTAGAAGGAAAGAAATATAATTCTCATTAATTACAGATTACAAAACCACCCACATAAGTATTTTGAAAGAATTTACAGGCAAATTATTAAATTAGTAAGAGGATTTAATAAGGTCCCTGATACAATATAAATATACGAAAATTAATTGCATTTTCTATATATTAGTAATAGTTAGAACATATAATTAAAAATAAATATCATCTGCTGTAATAACAATATATAAAGTGCTCAGACTTAAATCTATCAAAGGATTAATAAATATTATATAAAAAGAGAGACATATCATGTTCATGAATAGGGACTAATTAATGTAGAGGTCAATTCTCCCAAAATTGATATAATGTATTTACAATTAACATGTATTGTTCTTTGTTTGTTTTAAGGAATTGTGCAAACTAATTCTAAAACGCATATGAAAGAACAAAGGCTTAAGAAGATCTAAGACAAAATGAGGAAAAAGAAAATAAAGAGACTTGCCTTTCCAGATTTCAAGGCTTTAACAAAAAGGCTATAGTAATTAAGACAGTGTGGTATTGTCATTGGCGTAATCAAATTTGCCAGCAGAATAAAGTAGAGAGCTCAGAAGAGACTCATACAAAATATAAGGACTGGATAAGTGGTAGAGATGGCATCGGAGGTTAGTGGGAAGGAAAAGGTTATTCAATCTTTTCAGTCTAGGACAACAGGTTAATCATACAGAAAAATAATAATCTCAGACTAAATATAATTAATGTAAAGCAGATTAAATATTTAAATATAAAAGACAAAGTTTGTGACAGATAAGACTCTAAAATGACCCCCAATTACTACATCTCCCAGTATTTATGCCTTTATGTAATCCCTTCCCCTTGGGTGTCGGTGGGACCTGTCACTTGCTTCTAACCAATGTTGACTGGGTGTCACTTCCATGATTACGCTCCATTGTTAGCAGTGTCTCTATCGATTGATTCTCTCTCTTTTGGCTTTCAGGAAATAAACTGCCACATAAAGAAGCCCACACACCAAGTGACTGAGGGTGATCTGCAGCCAACAGCTAGAAAAGAACTGAGGCTTTCAGTTCAACGCCCACAAGGAACTGAATCTTGCCAACAACCACAGAGCTTGGAAGAGGACGCTTCTCCAGGTGAGTCTCAGGTGAGATCCCAGCAGCAGTTGATTGCTGCCTTATGCAAGATCCTGAGCAGAGGACTCAGTTAAGCCATGCCTGGATTCCTACCCACAGAAACTATGAGATGATAAATGTGTGTTGTTTTAATCCATTAAGTTTGTGGTAATATGTTATGCAGCAATAAATAACCAATAAAAAAATTAAAATGCTTAGAAGAAAACAGAGGAGAACAGTTTCAGTGCCAGGACTTTGGGAAAGATTCTTTAATAAGATGAAAAAAAACCCATAAATAATAAAGGAAAACACTGACATATTTGCTTACATTCAAATTAAGAACATCTGTGTATCGAAATTTATCACCCAAGTCATAGTACAAAGATTATGAAAATACAAGCCGACAATTATTCACAACACATATAACCGAAAAAGGGTTAATATTATGAATATATGGTAAACTTAAATGAATCAATAAGAAAAAAAAGTGAACTCAACAGAAAAATGGATAAAAGACATGAACATGGATTTCATTTCACAAAAGAGACACAAATGGAAAAAATAAGGACTACTATATACGTGTATGTGCACACACGCATGGGAGTCTATATGCTATATGTCATTAATAATCAGAGAACTGCAAATGAAAACAAAAATGGGACACTCTTTTACCCCACTGGACAGGAAAATATTAAAAAGTCTGAAAATGTCAAGTACAGGAGAAAATCTGTAGCGACAGAAACTTTTCTATAATGGTTAGAGTGTCTATTTGTAGACACAATCTGGAAAAACAATAATGTGGCATCGTCTAGAATAGCTGAGGACGTGCTTTCTGCCCTAGATATATATACTAGGAAGGTGGGGATGGGTGGGAAGGTTCTGGGTACAAACAAAACACAATGACAAAATTCTTTTTTATGTGCATTATAGAACATACATAAGAATTTTTATATACAATGTTTGGTTTTTCAAAAATTAGAAATATTCCCAAAATCCATTGACAGGATAACAGATAAATAAAGAATGGTATGTTCAGATAATGGCATATTCAACCAAGTTGAAAATGTGATCTCCACCTGCAAACACCAACATGCATTAGACAAACAAAAGAAAGCAAGTTGCACAAGAATATATGCAGTGTGTTTCTGCTTACATAAAGTTTGAAAACATGCAAAAATACATAACATATTGATAAGGAGAGAGAAATATGTGGTGAAGCTATAAAGAAAAGCAAGAGAACAGTAAACACAAAATTCAGGATAGACATTACCTCTGGGATGGTTGGTGGGAGCAGGAGGATGTGATAATGGAAGGTCAGATGGGGGCCTTAACTACTAGTATTAATTGTGCATTTCTCAGAGTGGATGGTAGGTACACTCACGTTTGTTAATATCTTTTATATCATATATGTTTTGTACCATATTGTAGAGTGTGTGAGTATACGAATTCTGACTCTAAGTCCCAGCTCTGGCCACAGAAACTTGTCAATATGATAGAAGAGGGCTTCTGATTTCCCAGATAAAGTCAACGCATCTCTTCAGTGTCAACATATTGGTGCAACCTATTTTGCATATCCATAATACCTACAGTTTGATAAGTGGGGGCAGTAGAGCTGGCATATGCAAGGATCAACACAATAGTGTTTTCTAATTCACATACAGTGAACCATAGCAAAGGAGTGGACAGCAATACCCAAGAGAAAACCAATCACAGAAAAGGAATTCCTCTCCATCAAGGGTACAAACCCTACTATCATAGGTCTATGGCACTTGGTCCCAACGCAGAGGTGCATGCTCTCTTGTACTCCTCACTGGAAGGCTGAGTTTCTGGCTGGAGGCTCTGGAATTTGCTCCTGGGTCCCAACCTACAGCCTTGAAAAAGAGAAAGCATCCGAACTTACAAAGCACCAACCAGAGGATAAAGCACCCCAACCCAAAGAATATGTGCGAATGACAAGTGAAATAACAGAAAAAATTATTCCATATAGACTAGATAATTTTATATTAATATAATCTTCTGTTATATATGGTGCTAAGGGGAATAATCATTATATATACACATATATATGTAATTTAGATACACTACCTCTGATTGGTTTCCACTTATTCCATCATAGCCAGTGTAGTAAATGCAGTGTGAACACACAGTCTTAGACACCCCCAGCTTTTATGCATATTTCATAATAAATAAGTGGAAAAAATTAAAATAGGTAAAAATACGGTTACAATGTAGAAGATCACAATTACATATATACTGAATGAAAGTATGAACATAAAGTTATGCTTAATCTTATACAAATGGCATTTGTAACATGGAATAAAATTTCGAGTAATAGCATACTTGAATACAAAAATTTCTATATCTCAATAAAACTCAGAAGTCACTACGATATGCTCTGGAAAAACTCAAAATATGGCTCTAGAAATGATGACGACGTTGAAGTAAGTGAAAGTTTGAATAAATTTTTTCTTGAAACATTAACATAAAAAAATAGTGTTTCCCAATTAATATATTAATTGTGTAATGGTGATTTTACATGTTTGTGCAACTCAATTAACATATTAAATACTAAAATAGATGTCTATTTGGTCTATATATCTTAACCATGTATGCTCAAATTATCTGAAAACATTTTTAATATCTTGTCATTGAGAAAATGGTGCATCACACTATATATGGGTTTGCCTTTTCTTGGGGCACATACAACAATAGAATCAAAGTAAACATCTCTCTGCTCTCTCTCTCTCTCTCTATATATATATACTCAATAAGACTAGAGAATTGGAGGTGATCACAAGGAGGAAACAAGTACTGTTCTATTGATTTTCACACATGATTTTATTTAATCCTTGCATGAACTGTGAGAGAGTTTTACAGATGGGAAAATGGAGATTAAAATGAAGCAACTTGCTTAAGACCTCACAGCAGGTCAGTCTCTACTGACCTAGGGATTTTTATTATTTTATCTAATTTCAAAGCTCATACAATATATAAAAGTGTTGTAAATATAACATTTTTAATAGAAATCTTCCCTTTCAAATTAAGCCAGGAAATGGAGGAAGGTACAAACATGGCTTGAGAAAAACCCACTAGGGCAGTCTGCTGGTTATAGAGAAAACTTTATGCTCTTATGGTAATGGAATCCTGCCACGTTTTTATGCGTGTATACAAGCACATACCTTTCTACTCGTGTTCCATAATGGGGTATTTTAGATAGTCTTATAATGAATGTTGGGTAAAAGATAACTGCATGTGTGTAATTTCAGTTTATTTTGGTAAATCTAGAGAGAAATAACCACCTGTTCCATTCACTGGTGCACATAAACCAACTGTAAGTGTGCTATGTTTTGGTTAGCATTGAATTAGCCAGGGCACTCAGGTTAGTGGTTGAAAATGAGGAGTCAAGACCACCTATTTTGTTTGTGCGGGCTTAATTTTTATTAACTGCATTCTTTATATGCATTTTTCTTTTCATGGGTATCTTATGAAAGGAATTTCATCACTTCTTGGTTGTATTATGTGTTCTTATACAGATAAATAAATTCCCCTTCAAAGCTTTGTGAAATATTGCATTAAGGTATCAAATTAAAATGGCTCAATATAGTTAGTCATATTTTAAAATTCCAAGAACTTTAAACAAATCTACAACAAAATTAATCTTTTGGAACAAGATAAAGGAATAAATGAACACATAATTGAAACAATAAATAACTACTAATAAAATTGGCAGTAATCTTTCATTGTAGTACAACATGGGTTTAGAGCATTATTTGCATTATGCAATGAATAAGATAAGAAATGTCTTATGAATTTTTCATGGAAAGGTGCCTGATTTTTTTTTTTTTTTTTGCAGGAAAGGATTCGCCCTGAGCTAACATCTATTGCCAATCTTCCTTTTTTTTTTTTTCCTTCTCCCAAAAGCCGCAGTGCATGGTTATACAGCTTAGCTGTAAGTCCTTCTAGTTCTTCCACGTGAGCTGCCGCCACAACATGGCAACTGACAAGATGGGCGGTGTGGTTCCACGACCAGGGAGCAAACCCAGGCCATTGAAGCGGTGAGAGTGCCGAACCTTAACCACTAGACCAGCAGGGCTGGCTGGAAAGGTGCCAAATTTTAATGCAGGGATTAGAATATTCTGCTCATTTACTAAATGAGAAAAGTGACAGTGATGGAAGCTGAATTGACTTCCAAAAGGAGGAATAGAGAGCTTCATGGATGTCACATGAGAATGAACGTTGCTTCCTCAAATCATTAAGAACAATCTATATATCCCAAGTTTAGAAACAGAGAAAAAGACAACATGTGGGAAAACACCATGTATCTAGGACATTTGAAAACTTGAGATAAGTAGGTAAAATTCAACATCAGTGTTAATACACTCAAAAAAAAATTACATTTCATCTCAAGAGAGTCAGAGCAATACAGAAATAGTTTAAAGAAATAAAAGAGAGAGCAATTGACATGTATTATGAAAAAGATTTGCTCAGATTATAATTTATCCTTTTTCCCCCAAAGTTTTAACTACATAAGATTTCAAAGAGATTCTTAAATAGTTCATACAATAATTAACACAATTGTCACAGGAGTGATTCTCATTGTGCACCTTACTTTCTGTGTTCAGATTTAGGTTCCAAGTTCCTTCCTTCCATCCTTCTATCCTTCCATCCTTCCTTCCTTCCCTCTGTCCCACTTTCCTTGCCTCTCTCCTTCCCTTCCTTCCTTCTGGTATTATTTACATGGTAGGGAAAATAAGAACAGATTGTTTTGTTCCTAAAATGATTCTATTTAAATATATTTGATTGACTGGTAATCACAGATTTGACAAGAATATTCACTTCCACTTGTGAATATTGTGTAGGCTTGTGTAGGCTCCTTTGTGCTAGGAACATTGAGAAATGCAGAATGTGTTTCTTTATAGTCCCCACTAGACTGTCAGTTCCATGGAGGTAGGGCTCATGTATGTTTTCTTCACCAGTGCATTCCCAGGATTGATAGCTGTGCCTGGTACCGCGGATGGAGGCAGAGAGCGGAGGGAGAGGAAAAGAAGATGCTGCTGGCCAGCTGGACCCTAGATGAAATACACTGAGTTATCCTTCTTACTATTATTACTAGCAATGATGTGCACGCACACCAGACTACACTAACACATTCTTTTCTCTTCAGGGCATCCCATGATATCCAACTATAGACCAAATTTCTTTGTTATAAGTGTGCTGGGGTAGTTGAGTGACTGCAGGGAAAGAGCAAGCATCTATTTTTGTTTCATTTTGTTCTATTTGCACTTCTCTTTTGGAAAGGCTACTTATTAATGGGATGTCCCATGAGAACTAGAGCATCAAAGACTAATTAAGAAAAAAATAGGTGGTGATCTCTATCCAAATTTACCAATAACTCCCTCTAACTTGATAAGTTACTCCCTTTCCTCACAACCACTATTTCAGAAATAAATAACATCTACTACAAAACAGATAATACTTTTCAGTGCCTTTCCTTGGGTGGTAATTGCTACCTAGCACGCCCCTCCTCTCTTCTTGGTGAATTCCTACTAAAGTCTCTGGAGAGATTTCAGGGTTATACCCAACCAATTTTTGTGTTCTTCCCTCATGCTAATCAATACCTTGACAGCAGATACCCAAAAAGTATGGTGAATAAGTGAACTGATGCATGAATTGTAAATCCATCAAAATTCCATCACAGAAACATATTCCCCATAGAGATAGTATGGGTTTCAAATTTATCTGTAAAAATTTAAGTATCAAATAGTGTTGCCGTGAGGAGTGTAATGAGATACGTGAAAACCTTATGGTTCAATGTGTAGCACATATTAAGTGACTAATTCATGATAGAACCTTATCCTTCTTTAAAAAAAAAAAAATTCTTCACAGTGCCAGCTCTGTGCATCATCTACTTAGAATGTCTTAAGTAAACATGCAAGAACCTTCTTCTTTTTAGTGATATCATGCGTGACTGACCATGATATCATGATATCCTACCAGGGGCAGGAGGGGCAGCTGTAAAGCGCCAATGTTCTTGCCATTTAGTAAGTTGGGATGATGTATGTAGAAGGGTAAAATAGACTGAGTCCAAGTCAGACAGGACTTGGAATTAAGTTAGGGGCCCAGAGGCAAGGCTTGCCCATCATCTTGAAGTGTGCAAGATTAGTGGCTGAAATTGTGGGACTGTGTGTCAATACTCAACTTGTCCTGCATTCCCAGCTCCATACAACATCCTCACACAGCTACCCAAAGACCTAAAGAGGAGGGCTATTAAAAATTATCCCAACCACAGCCAAGTTGCTTTTTGCTTCTCATTTATTTAAGAGTCTTGTTACACATATTGTTCCAATAAACTAGCTTATGATTTTCAGTCTTTGTTTTCTTGCTGCATAACTGGATAAGTGTGAAAGAAACAAAAAACAAAAAGCCCCACGGTTTGGAAGCCTTAGCTGAACCAATCTTTAGACACAATCAATTAAACATGTATATGTTACTTGGACTAAATATAACATAAGCTCATATAAATTACAGCTCAAGCATCTACAAGTCAATTAGAGAATGTTAGAATCCATTGTCTGAAGTGCCTATCATCCTTCACGCAAAAATTCAGTGATTTTGTTCTTAAAATATTCTTTGAATTTTTCTGCCAAAATGAAGGGAAATGATACTAGTCAAGTACTTGAAAAATTACCTTAGCAGCTATCTTTAGCTATATTATAGACGTACTTTGGTCAAGATTTAAATAAGCAGTAAATAGCTCACATATTAAATTTCTTAATAGATCTTAGACTATCAGGCACCCTTATCTCTGGAAGTGGTGCTCTAACATATTGCCTTCTATTCACATTTTTTCCTAAACTATCAGTGAATATTTTTCTAATTTTGATCAGAGTTAAGCCAATCCAACATAGCAATTTCAAAACTACTGTTAGTGTTTACTCACTTACAGATAATGGAATGTGATACACTTTATATATCAAGAATGTCTAGGATCTTTGATGATGCACCAAAAACTGCAGACAAATGATGTCAATCAAAAGCAAGTGACAGAGACGAGGGGTGGCATTTCCACAAAAGAGAAATTTTTAAGACAAGCTAGTGTGTGTGGAGGAGACGTTGTTCTCTGAATACAGTTGCTGAGGATCGTACGACAGGCAGCTCCTTCGCCATGTCTGGGAATTTGACATCTCATTCTTGCCAGGTCTTTACTAATTCTTCTGTTTGTCTAAAAAGACAGCCAATCGAATGTCTAATATTTGGGGTCTAGGCCTCACATGCATGTATTCTTGTACCAGATCCTTAAAACTTGTGCCTCTTTAGGTCTCTATAAATTAAAGAATATTTACAGATTTATCTTCTTTCTCCTGAATAGATTATCCCATTTCCTCTCCTGAAATTTTTATTACAGTAATTTCAACTCTGGATATGGTCTATTTAATCCTAAATGAGTAATCTGCCTTATTTCAAACTTTTGAAAACCAGATTAACTATTACCACTACATTTATTTTTGTTACTTTTGTCAGCAAAATTAACACATTCAAAATTTCAAGATTTATATGCTATTATTTGAATAACAGCTTTTATCCCAGTTAGGCCTAAGTTTGGGTAAGTTAATGAAGAATAGGTTTGATTTTACAGAGAGGACCTTTTACAAGTGTTTCCTTTAGAAGTGTCACATAGTGATAATTGTTCCTTTATTTTCAAGATGATAAGATTAAAACTTAAGTGTAGAGGCTATTTGACTTTTTCCTAGGCTAACACCCTAAGAGTGCAGGGCCTGGATATTCTGGGAGTCGGTCACGTTACGTGCTGAGATTATAAGGCAGGGGGTCCCACGCAACAACATATGCACGCATATCCAACGGCTGTGTCATCCCTCACCCATACATAACATTGCCCCACTGGGGAATCTGCATAGAGAAATCTCCCCCTCCAGCAAACTTTCCCTGGGGTTGGGAATGGGTGAGTAGAGATGGAAATTCACCTTGGCATTGCTACATAGTGGTGAAAGCTAGCGTACACCGTGAAGCTCATTTTGTAAAGTGTGTCCCTTTATTTAGCTATCCATAACAGGTTCCCATATTGTTCCCATATTCATTCACAGAATTACTCTCTCTCATTTTTCCCCCTCTCTCCCCCAATTCCTCCACATACTCAATCTGGCTCCCTTCTGCTTGTGGGTGTGCTTCTGTACAACGTTGAAAGAAAGTCAGTGGTAGCTCCCGCCTTCTTCTTTGTTTCCTGCGCATATTTGTAATGCTTACCTTGATCAGACCTAACACTACTGCCAACCCAAAGCCTTTTTATTTGATCTGATTCGAGATCACATATCCTGGGAATTGAAAGCCAACAGTGAGATTCTTCCCAATAATGGAAACAGTGTAATCATCCAAGTAGCAATTTTACATGCTTGTTGATAACCCTGAGATAGAAAGAACAATCTTCCTTGAGAAAAATAGTTTAGATTCAGGTCTTCAGTTGCCCTCTGAATCTATATTAATAGAATATGATTTTCATCAATTTTGACATTGCAGGGAGAAAGCAGTGAGAGCTACGGAAAGGAAGCAGATACGCGGGAAGAGGAGCGGTCTGCATTCACACGATGATGGGAGAAAAATGGCAGCCAGGTGAGGGGTTGCTGGAATGTAACATATCCACAGCTTTATCACTTTGGAGGCACATTTTGACATAATAACAAACTACTGACAAAGAACCACTTTTATCTAGGTCGGAATGACAGACTCCCAAGCGTCAGAGAGCATGGGGGAACCACAGTTTGAAACATCAGGAAGAATACTGCAATCTGTACAGAGATTTTCATCGAGTCTCGACACTGCCTGATAGTTTTCATCCAATACATTGTAATTACTCCACTGACTTATAACGGCATAGCATTTTGATTTCAGAGCCTACCAAAATAAAATGAACCACATTTTATGACTCCATTTATAATAAGATGCAGATGGTAAAGGAAACAGATGCCTCTGACATCATCTCCCATTTGCCTTCAACTTTTGCAGACACTGGCAGTCTGTAAACGCATTCAAAGGGATGCAAGTCAGGCAGTTTTCCAACTCTGTTTCCAGTCTAAAAAAACACTGGCAGCAGTGGCACTGGTTTCTTTGAGTCATACAGTGATAATTCCTCAAAAAGACATTTGATTCTGCGTCAGGCTTTAATGCAAAATTAATCATCAGGAAAAAAAATCCCCACAAATATTGGGAGTTTAGCAATTAGTAACTACTGATTGTTTTGCATGACAGTGACAGAAAGGATAGGGTGGGAGTGGTGTGATTGCGAACAGCTGTAGCTTCAACAAGGCAAAAGAGAAAGGAGAGTTTTAAACAGACAAGCAGGTCGAAAATATTCTACCAGCCCTTGGCACCCAGATTGTTCAAAGACTTATGCCTTATTAGTTCTAAATAAAAAACTTTAAGACTTTTCAGGTCACTGTTTCTGACTCAAAAAAACATTCATTTTGTATTTCCATCTGTGTTTCCAGAAATCCTGTAGTTCTGATAGGAGTTTTTACCATTTCTCAGTGGCATCGCTGAACATTATACACAGTAAGAGGAATTCCTTTTTTTCCTTTTTGTGCAAGATAAATGTGTTAGAAGACCTTTTAAAAAATATAAGGAACTTTTGTAGCCCATCTTCAAAGCAAGAGATGTTTTGGTAAAGCAACCATCAAGGCCTTTAGCAGTGTTTGAGGTTCCAAGACAGATCAGCACGGTTACAGATGGAGGAGAGTTAGACAAAAACCTTTAAAACTTTCCCATCTCTCCTGATCCCTGTGATAGAACTTCATCTACACCTCTGTAGCAGAGATATTTTAGCAGAAAAAATTTCAGAAACAAAGGCAAGGAAAGTGGTGACATAAAAATAAATCCTGCTAGACCAAATATGGTACCTATTTTTAAAATAATCTCTTTGTGCAAGTAACAGACTGAAAACACGCACACACACCACACACACCCACAGTACAAGAATAAACAAACTCTTCTAATTCATATGCACAAATTGGGTTGGAAAGTATTAGTGCAAATTTCTGCTGACCTGCAGCATTTAGTCCGTAAACTTTGGATATCCTAGACGATCCATCAGTGTCCAGCAGACGCTTTCTATGAGTTTAATTTCCTCTCTAGGCAAGTTTTGTTTCCAAACATCAGTATTAGTTGGTGATATTTCCCCTTCATAGGGAAGATAGAAAAGGTTCGTGGAGGTGGCAAACAATATTTGGTTTAAACTAGCAGGAGACAAAGGAATTCCAAGAAAGGCAAAAATCTTTTCAGTGGTTTTCTGAGGAAAATGCACAATATCTTCAAACTTGATCAGCTGGTAGCTGGTAGGCAGCAAATCCGTATTTATTCTCAGGGCTGCTGCTGTGTTTGCGAGCCACAAATGAGACAACAGGGAGACTGCGTTTGACGTGGATTTTGATAATTCCTTCCTCAGTGATTCATACTCAACAGCATAGCCCGAATTTAAGTTACATTTGCCTTTACCTCCCTCTACTTTAAACAATTTAGCTAAGTGCCCTGGTACATTCTTCAAAGAGTAAAGACTTGGTTTACTACTGTACAGCATTGAATAAATCCATGCCCGAGGGTCTCTTACTACATACAATGCCCTCATCGAAGCTCCTAAAACTTCCTGAAAAAAATGAAGCTTTAAGGTCCAGCTCCCGCTGCTTAAACTGAGCACAGGCCGTGCACTTGGGTAATAGACCAGGTGTCTCCTCAAAGCCCTGATATATTCAGCATCTCTATCAAAGGCGCCTTTCATTCTACTTCTTTGTTCTGGCAAAGACTCTCTCCTTTTCAGTTTTCTTTTTTTGTCCTTATTCGCTGCAAAATATTGGGCCAGTTTACTCCTACTGGGTTCATGCAGATGGATGTTTTGCAAATGCAGTTTTGTGTCTTGGACTAAGGACTGCAGCCAGCCCCGGAGCAAACGGAAATGCACACTGTGGATATCTGATGCCTTCCATTCACAGGCATCCACGAATGAGTCAATTTCAAATTCAGTTTCAGGGATATCAATGTAGGCTGTAGGAACCCTGATGTAGAGAAAATCGCTACTGTTGAAAAAAAGTTGTTTGAGTAGTTCAGCTCCTGAACCAGGAAGTGAGGTAATGACAACATCGGGAAGATCAATGTGGTGCCCTTCGGGAGACGAAGACTTCGTGCTTGCCTCGGCCTCCGTCTTTGCCCATTTTGCACAGATGGGCTGAGTGCAAGTGCTCCACACATCCAGCAGCTCAATAAACCACAAGGCAACAACAAGTATTAGGATCCACCGCATTAGCTTTCTAAAAGAAAGGTAAAATCGCCACTGAAAAGTTAAAATCACCAAGCTAATGCACAAAATCAACCCAACTGCTATATTAAATTTAAATCCAAAGGGGAAAATAACTCTATCACGTCTTATGGGCTTTACTATTGCTTGAGTGCCCAAACCAAATCGGGTTATTTGGCCTTGATCAGCCACGCTGGCAAAGCCACCAAATCCCAGGTAATCGAATCTTGTCTTCAGGTTATGGTAGTCAGTTACAATGGAAACAACATGTTCAGTATTATTGACATTGAGAGAAATCTGAAGTCCAGAATCGGAATTATCAATAAATCTGCAGCTGGAAACATTGACATATGGCCCATAGAAGACATATGCAATTCTTGTGATTGTGGATTCCATCTGAAATGTAACATTAACAAATTGAGTCCACCGTTTCTTAAACTCAGCGGCTTGCTCTGCTTCCTGGATACTAGCAATGGGGCTACTGCCATGATGATCAAACCAAAACATTTTGTAGTGTGCATCCCACACGTCCATCATGGCGCCATTATAGCTGTTCATAAACCTATATGGGATGTACTTAAAATCAATATCCAGATTATGAAAGAAGGCACTGACAGATTTTATTGGGGAATCTTCTTGCCTCTCAACGTGATCAACAACAAGCAAAGTTTGTGAGTTTAAGAGAAGCAAAGCACGATATACACTTTTCAGCTTCATTGCTGAAGAATACGCAGACGCTGCTTCCCCACTCACAAATATCATTTCCCCCTGCTGAGAGGCAGTGATGACTTCCCCAGCTGCGTCGCCAACCTCCTCGCCGATCCACTTGAGCCACTGTGCACATTCTCCCAGCTGACCTTCCCAGGGCTTATTACACTGGCTTGTAGGTGATGGAGCAAACACCAGCACATTGTTAAGGTGGCTCAACTTGGGTCCATAGAGAGCTTCGGAAACAAATACTTGCCCGTTGGGGGCAAAAGTAAATGAGTTCTGATCTGGATGTTCATGTCCTGGGTTAAAGCTTCTCCACCCATCAATCCAGGAGTATGGCTGAAAGTGAACTATGTCATACACAGCTCGTCCCCCTAGCTTCCCAGATTTAAAAGACACAAAGGTATTGGTCTGTGTATTTGGCAACCCAGCCCCATAAGTGACGACACCCCAGTTAGGGAACATGTGCATTTTTGCAGTACCATATTCAGCAGGAGGCTGTGGGGTGAGCTGGGGGTCATACCAGATGTATTCAGTGTGAAGAGTACTCCACCTCTGGGCAGTGGAGGGGACCATTGGTCCATCTTTAGGCCGGTGCCTTCTAATTTGCTGAGCTAACCAATTTCCAGCTCCATTCTTTAAGATGAACTTATCCAAAAACACTAACTGGCTCTCTGGACCATAAAACCAATTATAATTGGAATCTGCTATACCCACAGTTCTTTGGAAGCCTGGTAAAAGGGTGGCATAATAGAACCAAAAGTGCATTTTTAACCAGTTATTATCCAAGTTGTTGATATTAAAATGGCGCTGGGCCAGAAAAACATATTGTGTGACTGATTTAGCTGTGTAGCTTCCATAGGCCACACCTTCATCCAAAGAACCATCAACGATATGATTCAATAGAAACATTGTCTTTTCCATCACATCTACTACAACCTGTTTCCATATATTTACTTTAGACCCTTTATCGACCCCAGTCACCAAGGCCCCGGTGAGTAATGCTATCATATTAGTAGCTTGGTGGTTATGGAGAAGTTGTTTGCCCCATGAGCGGACCTTGGAATACTCATACATTTCCTCAGTAATAGTCCATATTTTTTCCAGGTATTTTTGTCTTCTATGATTATCTAGTAAGTTATATAAAAAGTCAAAGGCAGTGGCAAAACCTGTTAAGGAATGGCCAACTGGAACCTCATCTCCCGGCGCATTCTCAACAAGCCAGTCTTTGTAGCCAACCATCCTGTCCATATATTCCAAGACAAATTCAAAGGCAACTCTGTCTTCTGGGCATAACAAACAGTACAGTGCTAAAGGAGGCAGATTGTTACCATAAATTTCATTCCACTTGGCAGCAAAATCAGCATGCTTGGGTGGAGGTAGGTAGTATGTGGGGTTGGACAGCATAATCGTCACTGCATTTCTGATAGCTCTGAAAAGGTGCAAATGGCTTGTGCGAGACTTTTGTCTCATTGCTTGGATTTCTCCAGCATCAAAATATAAACTTGGACGAAGCATACTTTTCTTCAGCTTTTCGTGGGGTCTGAAATCTTGGACTCTCTGTGTCTTAAACTGATCTATATCATCTGTGAAAACTGCCCAATCAGAGTAATTGCTCACAGATTCCTCAAAAGTAGAGAAAGCAAACATCACTAATGCTAAAAATAAGAAATGTCCTGTAAACATTAACGCCATGATCCATCGGGGAGTTCCTTTCCTTAGGCATACATGTCAAACACAGTGCTCAAAGTGTTTCCCATCTGCTTAGCATAAAACACACATTTAAGGCCTTGATAAAACCAAGATTGTAAATCGTATATGCTGTGAAATCCAGCTGACATTCGGCTCATTCAAAGCAAGTACAGTTGCCAAAAAGAGAAAACTTACACTGTGTATCTGTGTCCCTGACACAGTTTTGCTTCCAATAAAACTTCAAGGAATGTTAAAACCTCTAATTTTTCCATATCACGCAGTAAACAGTGGTACAGATAGTTATACTATGAATTCAGGATTTACTTCTTTTACATAAATCTATCTAACATGAAGAGTCAAAACACACATTGTAAAAAAAAAAAAAAAGAAAAAGCACTCCAAAATCCAAATTAAGAAGTCATTCCTAGCACAGGAAACCATCACCGGTGATAAAATCACCACATGTGTACAAGTCTTTGCGTAGGTTTGCCCAAAGAAGTCGGTGAAGCACTGAAATTCCTGGCATGAACTCGGGTGTTACCCCTCTCAACTTTTTACACTTCTTGCTTTGGGAATTTTTTCTTCTTCCATTTTTGAAAGGAAAACATCCTCAACAAGTGTTCAAAGTCCTACTTGATTTTACAAGACTCAAAATCCCTGCCTTCATTCCAAATCTGTCTGTTTCAGGCTTGCTTACTCATCAGCCTGTTAGGACCCAGAGGAAGCATTTCTGTGTCTTTTTTCATCAGCTCCATCTCTCCAACTATCAAAATCTAATCTCTTCAGCAGCCTAGGTACTTCTCCAATCATGAAGTAACCTCCGACTGGGTAAGAAAACTCCCCTTTCACCAACAGAGTCTTCTCTTCTCTGTTCCTTTTTCATGACATTCCTTTCTGGGGGGGAAAACAAAACAAAGAAATTCTCTGAGGCCACAGGTATGCTGAGAGTGGACATAAACTGATGATTTCAATGTTCTACAATCGCTTGATAGAAATTTTAGAATCACAATAAAATCTAAGTACAATCTCAGCGCAAGTGATTCTTTTTTTGTTATACTTTTAAATGCACAGAGTAGGATAACCATGAATGTTGGCAGATGCCAAGCAGCTACAAGATATAACGTCCCCGTCAGTATTTATATTTTAACTGTGGCTTGCTTTAGTCATTTAAAAATGTTTGATTCAAATGCAGTTAACACAAAGATGAGCCCTGCAATCATTCTTGTTTCCGTCAAAGTACGCCGGGACGAAAAACAAAAGTTGAAAGGACCTTTTTTGATGCCGGTTGAAGGTTTAGCTTTCATGGGATCAGAAGGTGTCTTTGTAACGGGAACTGCTGAGACCAGGCGTTTCTCTCAAAGGAGAAATCATGACAACGTGTGGGAGCAAGGAAGAGCAGTTCCCGCTCCAATCTCTCACCTGTAGCCTCCTTTTCCATCCTTACAAGAAGCCACCAGAGGGAGCTCAGACCCAGACTTAAGGAGCAGCCTCGCCTTTGCCCGTCTTCGGTTCTGAAGAACCTAACCAAGTTTCAGTCTTGGACAAGTCTCCTCTCTGCAGGAAACATTAACGCTAGGAGTTTCCTGATCCGCCCCGCCTGTTGCATTTTTTTATTCGTTTCCTACGAACATGCGGTCCCCAACCTCCGCTCCCCACCCCCGACCTCTGGCTGTGGTTTGGGGACAAGAGACCCCTAAATGGCCAAGTCCGCTTACCTTCGGCAGACCCGGAGGGGATCTCCCCGCAGCGATGGGCCCCAATGAGGCGGGGATGGAGAGTTCGAGAAAACTGCTCCGCAGAGGAAGCGGGGCCCGCGCGGTCCCCCGCAGGGCTCCCCGCGCCCCCAGCCTGGCGCCCCCCGCGCTCCAACAGGCTGCGGCCCCCGCCCCGCGCCGC